AGCATGAAATATTTTACACTTATAATAGTTGGACATACTTGAAAGAATATAAGTTGCATTTACGTTTTACTAACGGTTACATTTATGCTGCTTTTTTATGTCTTATTTTGTCACATACTTGAAGAGTTTAGAGGTTTAGTAAATAGCAAGTAGATTTATGTCAAACGGCATAGTTTAAAATGAGAATTAAGATCATAATCAGCATGATTCATAACCAAAAGACTGAATGTTGTCACCGCTGCTGCTTGTCCTGCTGATTAGAACAAACTTGAAAAGCCTGATGTAGGCACGGTTGGCAAGTGTTGAAAGTTAGGCAGGCTCTATTTGATACAGTTAGTGTCGTAGCTTCATGTAGAATTCCAGCGGTTGTAATCCAGTTATTTTAAATCTCACTAGCTGCAAAGATAAGTTTTACTTGAATTTTTACATTTTTGTGTTTTATCTTGTGACCACAGTGAGTATTTATGAAAGGCAATAACTCGCTTTAATATGTAGAAATAATTTTTAAGGGTAAGCAGTTAGTTATAAATAATTAAATTAGGTAGTTTGATAACCTTAGTCATTGTGGATTTACATGGTCACTATTTTTTAACAATATTTGTTAAAAAAGCCCTATTAAAATCAAAATCTAATAAAATTTCACAGTTTAAAATACACGTAATTTATGACATTGATTCTTAAACGATATTAGGATAATTACACATTTAAAAGCTACAAAACATTTATGTTTCGTCGCAGCAACATTCAACAAAATATTTATCAGTCATTTTTAATTTGAAGCCTACTCAAACATTTTGGCTAGTTTATATTGATTTCCTTCTCTTTAAGCATCTTTTTTAACAATTAGAGATTTGTCTCAATACGCAAACAATCCTCTCGCTAGTTCCTGTGTGTTTTATCCCCTAACTTGTCAACCTCACCTCAAAGTGGCTGTTTTCAATTTCTTTATTAATAAAAAAAAATCCCTTTCTAAAATGGTTTTACTTAATCTGGTAAAACATTAAAGTTAAATAGTCCAAAACTCCCGACAAACGTGACACACATTACCGCTATGTCTGAAAATAACTACAATAATAGACAAAGATTTAAATAAAAGCCTCTTATTTAAAAAGAGCTTAGAACATGAAGGCATGTTCTGGAGCTAACAAAATCAATTACAGCTCACGGTTATGTAATTAAACAAGAACAGTCAAATTCAAACTGAAAATGTACACTAGTGGTCAAAAATTATACAAGTTAATTTTAATTTAATCTAGCTCAGTAACTCTATCATATGAGGAAAAGTAATGGGAAATTATAGTAAAAGCTGATATCATAAACAATTGGGTAATTTACATAATAACTGTGCATATCTTTGAAGAATAATTTTCTTTATGTATTCATTTTTCTTCAACACATTTCTCTTTCATTTTAAAATTTTTGGAATTAAGGATTTTTGTTATTCTAAAAAACACTAAATGCATTTGAGAATGTATAGAAAAAGTGGCTAATTTTATTTCTTTAATAATATGAACATTTATAAAAAATATGAAATATATATGGTAAAGGCTGGTTACAGAGCTGACGTGGCAGAATTTTTAGAATTTAGTAACACACTGAACAACAAAATCTAGAAATGGCAACACTTTTAGAATTTACAGCAGGCATTGGAAGCAGAATTTAGAAAGGCACTAGGCAGGGCCACAGAGATTGCATCAGGTGGGAAAATGCCTAGTGCCAGCTATGTGTATGATGCATTAAGACATATTAGATGAATCTTTTAAATTGTAGGTTTTCAATTTCTTTATAAATAAAAAAATCCCTTTCTATAATGCCTGCCCATGTGATAAGATTAGAAGCATTTTTGATATTTTCCATGCTGTCTAGTGAAAAGTAGAAAAAATAAAGGGAAGATAAACATATTAAGAAAAAGATTCTAGTATCAGAGATAAAACATTCAAATAAGTATCAGAGATAAAACATTCAAATAATATGTTTTCATTGTTCTTCCAGACGTTCTCCAAAAAGTAAGAATTTCATTGCAAACTTTGTAAAATACCATGGAGACATTTTTCATTTTGTCACATATTTCTCGAATCTTTTAGAATCGTGGGTTTACAAATCTTGCCTTCAAATCCTTCTAAACTTTCCAAGCTGCAATGTCTAAAATCTTAAAGAAAATTTACCCTTACCAATTCTGTAACAGCAAAATGCCAGAAATATTTTGGGGAAAGAAAAGGGGAAGTGTAAAATTAATTTCATAGAGAAAACTGATGCATATCCTGAGAATTTTGAATATTTTGAGACAATTACACGGGGAAAACTCTAACTATGAAAAAAATTAAAAAGACCTTTTTAATTAATTACATAGTTAATTTTGCTTTTGCTAAAAGCTGTTTTGTAAATTATGCTTTACAGCATTATACCTTGTTTATTTTTCAGATACAAAATATTATGTAATGAGTTGCTAAAATGAAACTTTATAATATGACAGCGAAAAAATGTTTTATTTTAATGTTATTTTTTAAATATAATTTCAATATATTACCATTATTTTAATGAAATTTATCAATGTTATGATATTTAAAAAAAATCGTCGAAAAATTCTCAGATCATGGAATTAAAAATTTTCTATATAAACTGATCTAGATATTGCCCAAATGTTGATAAGTCGCCAAATTTAGAACCGTTTAATAAAACAATTCACATCCCCAAAAGCAAAAAGTTGTTTAAGAGCTCTTTATTGGAAAAAATGAATTTCAAAATGTGTATGTTTCACTTCTTGCTTAGAAACTGGAGTATTCCATCATTTATATTAGAAATAGAAACAAATTATAACCCATGAACCCATTCAAAAGATAACCATATATGTCAGTGAATTGCCATAAATATTCCACCAAAATGGCAGTTGTAAAAACAGGCAGAAATTTCAGATGATTAAAATTAAGGACCTTCTGCTGATTTTGACCAAAATTAAGGTTTTTTAAGGACCAAAAATCGATTCCAAAAAATCTAAGGACTTTTAAGGACCCTTAAGGACCGTAAGAACCATGGTTTTAGAAATAGATCATTCAGTGGAAATTTATCTATTACTTATACATAAAACAAAAGTTACAATAAATAAATAAATAAATAAAATAAAATTAAAAAAAAAACCTCGCACAAAATTGAAAAATAATTTCACTTCACTTTTTTTTATTTTCTAATGGCAGAGACTGTGAACAGTTACAGTGTAACCCAGTCCATTAATCTATACAAGGCCAGATGTGGCGTTTTCTTTATTATGGAGGCACCTAATAGGTGGGCCACCATTGCCTCCTATGAAGGGATGGACAGTTATAACCATGCCTTCTCCAGGATTCGAACCCAGGCCCTTCAGTATTGCAGTCAGGCTTCCCTAACCACTATACCGTCTGAGCAGCACCTCACTTTTATTCAACTCATTATTTCTAAACATAACCTTCTTTCCACACCAATCGCTAAATTTTCAATTTCTTTTTGTTTACTACACTTCTGAAATGGAATAGTTGTTAGAGTAAAATCTTCATTTTCTTTAGAAATTATTGATGGTTTTATGAATCTAACAAATATATTCATTAAAAGTTCAACAAGTTCTCTTCTCAATTTATGTATAAGGTGCTTGTTGTAGCAAATTATTTACTGTTATAAACAAAGGCAAAGTATTTTTTTAAAAATAATACCTATAATTTGGTGATCGTACCATTTTTTAATGTTTTGACATCTCTTTCTTTCATTCTCACTGTTATCTGGTTTATCCCCAAAAAAAGTAATCAGAGCATTCCACTGTTTAAAATCCTTGTTATAGAGTCTAAAAGAGACAAAAATCTTGTATTGCAGTATTTCAAAATTTTATGAGATTTTATATTCTGTCCCAAATTTGTTGAGCAACTTTGAAGCTGTGCTTCTGTTTCAAACTTTTCTCCAAATAAAAATATGCATCTACTTACATTTCGATTTCTGAGCTAATTCATTTTTCATTTTTTTTTCCCCCAGCTAAATGCAAGAGATGGCCTCAGATGATTATATTTGGTTGATGCATTTTGATAAATGATGGCACATCTTTAAATTTTCCCTTCATATTACTAGCATTACCTGCAGAAAATGATAAGCAATTTTCCCATTCCAAACCTTTTTTTTTAAAGTTTTCATTTATACAATTAAAAATACCTTCTCCAGTATTATTCATGCATTCTAAAATAGAAATCAATGAAGTAATTATTACTCCCTTTTCTTTGCTATAATATGTTATAATCAAAGGTTACAGTTTGTTATCATTGTTATCATTACTTTCACCAGTACTTAGAGAAAATGATGTATTTATTGCACACTGTGTAATATTGGCAACAGTGCTTTCTGCAAGTGTTTTTACAGTAGCAGCAGTTTTGGTTGGTATGGCTGCAGCTAAATTTTTTTCGCTATGGCAGAATCCAGGAACATTGCTTTGAAAAGCTGTTTGGAATGATTCGTAACCGAAATCGATAGATTATGTTCAATTAAATAATCGAACAAAATAGCATCCGTTTCCTCATCTTTTATGAAGAAATTCATTATTTCTTTACATTTTATCGTGCCAAGTTATTTTTGCTTTTGAGAAAAACATGCCGTTTCCAGTCATCCTTTCCGCCATGCACAACTGAGAAGTCTTTGTTACATACATTGCAATGTGCATGATTCAAAGAAATTTTGGATGCTTTAATGCATGGAAATTCTGAAAACTATAAATCTTTAAATTTCTGCTTTGATAATTTTAGCTTCTTCATTCGAGGCAGCATACTTAACAAAAACTTCCAGCTGAATCACAGTTCACACGACATACATAATTATGAATATCAATGTTTTATTTATATTTCTGAAACACTTTCAGAAATGGTTAAGTTAGTGGTTTGTCACCAAAAGGAGAATTAAATGTATACTATTTCACTTAATAATATATGAATTTATTACCTATCAAATATTCTCTATATAACAATAATAAAAGGAGAAAGAAAAAAGTATCTTACCACTTTCATCACCTGAAGAAATCTGGAGGGAGAAAAATATTCAAATATAAGTTCACAAATCAAACAAAATTATTAAATCTCCCCTTTCCCCCCCCCAAATAAAAATTATAAACTATAATTTTTAACAAACCAGAACTAAGCACAATCAAAGCACTAACAATATAACCATAAATTCTTGTTTAACAGCTTACTCAAGAGAAAGGATTATCTATTGCAGTTTATATTCATTAAATCTAGTATAATTTAAAATATGTATTCTTACAGAATATTACAATATCCAAATTATGATACCATGGAACCTCGAGATAAGAGCACCTCTATATACAGTCAAAAGTCATTAATCCGGATGTCGACGATTCCGGATTATCGATCATCAGTTTAAATCTGGTAAGATGGCATGCAGAAATTATAAAATTAAAAATATGAAACCGTAATTTATGAAATAAAGAACAATTATGATCTAAAGGGTATCAAAATTTGCAAAAGAAAAAGCTTAATTTTATTTGTTTACTTTATTAAACATTTCTTTCAATGTAAGTTGTTTAAGTTGCTTCGTTTTATGTGATAATACTTTCCCTTTAATTCTATAAACAGACATAATTTCTTGTTCAGTTACAAAGTTCCGCTGTTCAAGTCCTATAATTGCTGTGTCGAGAATACTGACTGATTTGTCAATCGAAATTTTTTCGTTTTCAATAACCTCTGTGTCACTTTCTTCACTATCAGAAGCGAATTATAACGCCGAGGAATTTGATTTAAATCATATCAAAGACGAAGTACATCAAGATGAAATACTATATTTAGTAAGGAATTATAAGCCAAATAAAATAAAAACATCTGCCCTGAAGATAAGGATAGTGCTGACAGATCAACTTCCAATTCATTGCGCGCCGCGGCGGGACGTTTGACTGTACTAGAAATTCGAGATACAAGGAAAGCATGAGCAAAAAATTCGTCTCTAAATACAAGCATTGACTCAAGTAATGAGGTAGGCTGTTGGTATGGGAGGCGCTATTTCCCGATTCAGCTCGATTCGAAGAATCCCCTTGTCAGAACACTAAGTGTTCTTTGATCTATATGTTTATGTGCTAGTAAGTTAATTGTTTTTTACATTTAATGTTAAAATAATTTTTTCACGATGCCTCCCAAGAAGATTGTTGCCTCAGATAGTGCTGCAAAGAAAACGAAGGATGCCATGGCCGTTGAAATTAAGAACGAAATCATAGATAAACAAAAGTGGTGTAAGAGTGACAGAACTGGCGAAGACTTACTGCCGTTCGATATCAATGATTTGCACTATTCTGAAGAAGGAAGAAATTAAGAAACTTGATGTGGCCAAAAGGTTACTGTTACTTCCAAGCACCGTCCAAAACTCCTAGAAAATATTGAAAAGCTATTGTTGGTGTGCATTAACAAGAAGCAGTTAAAAGGCAATTCAGTGTCGGAAGCTATCATAAAGGAAAACTATGGTTATATTATTTACCAGTGTTATTTATTAAAGAAATTGATTTTTATGTTGATACTTTTGGGGGGTGTGCAGAACGGATTAACTGGATTTCCATTATTTTCAATGAGAAAGATTGTTTCTAGATACGAGAAATTCGCTATACGAGTTCAATGCTGGAACAAATTAAACTTGCATCTCGAGCTTCCACTGTATTTGGATTTAGTATTAAATTATTTTTAAAAAAACAGGAAAAATTAAACATGCAAAAGGATATATAACACACAATTAAACTTGTCCACCTCTTTCACTACTAATAAGTCATTCATGTATCAGTAATCCATGGCCTGTTGGGGTTTATTTACCATCCCCCCCCAAGAAAAGGGACACCTTGGTTTTGCTACCCCTTAAAAATCATCCTTGATTAAAAAAAAAAAAAAAAAAAGATTCCATTAAATCTGTATCATATAAAACGAATACATTATACAGCACAAAAAACTTACAGTCATGTGTAGAAAATAAATTGCAATTCAATTCAATATGCCATGCTGATCCCCAAAACCACAGCAGCTGCATTATGCATTATAATATGTAAATCTCTATTTTACAGCGAGTGAGATTATTCCAATTTATGATAGTATCTGTAATGATCAAAAATTCTATAAAACTACATAGAATATGTAATGATCAACCGCTCTCCATACCAGAAGTACAAATATTTTATATGTGCAGTGTTGTCTGAAGTACTTGCGATTAGTAATCAAATTATTTGCAGAAAAGCAAAAATTGATAAATTTTACAAGACTATCATAAAGAAAATATTCTTTTCTAGCATGTCTAATCATGAAAATAATTTCTCTTTTATTTGAGAGTTGCTATTTAAGCAGCAATGTAAAATTATCACAGGTACGAGATTATAACTAAATATTTTTATTCTAATGTTTGACTAAATCAGCTTCTTTTATCTTTTGAAATAAACTGTGCTCAAAAGAATTTTCTTAAAAATTACATACAGATAAAATACTGCCATATATTAAATGATTTAAAAATTAATCACAGTAAAAATTCCAATTCCTGCTTACCAAATCAATGCATTCGACTTTTTTCTCTACAACTTCACAAGTTATAGATTCGTCAGAATCTGACATATCTCCAATATCATCTAGCTCTACATCAGACAGAATTACAGGAACAGCTTTATAAAAAGAAAATTTAGTTAAAAAGTATTGATATATTGTTAATTTGTCTAGTTAAACATCAGAAATATAAGAATAGTCACGAAATGTTAAAAATATAAGAAGTTTTTTTAAAAAAAAATTTAATTCTGTCTTCTTACCAACAGCTCGTAAGTAACTTTCATCAGGTTTAGATAGAAAAGACAATATGTTTTTTATTGTGTCTTCTTTAGTGCTCAAAAGACCAAGAGAAAATGATCGTGCAACATCAGTGATAATTTTATTGGACATCCTATTAAAAAAATTAAAAATCTGAATTTCTGTAGAGACTAAGAAATAGATTCCTCTAAATTTAAAACAAAGAACTGAAATACTCTATTTTAAACAATAATTATATATTTTTGCCCTACTTTTCAAATACGAACACTTTCACATCACCAATTAAATAAAAAAATTGGTTATGCATATATACTAAGAATTATAGCTTTCCCAAAATATACAAAAATGCAATTAAGATTTTTAGGATATTTCTTAATTCCTTTTACTACATATATATGTAAAAGCTGACCATATTTTAAAGTTTAAAAAAAGAAAATACAGTGGCGGCCAAAATTGTGGGTACTTTTGAAATTTTTATGTTTTTTGAACTTTGTATGCTTATAGAAAATATTACGTTTCACAAAATGTAAACTTGTATATATAATTTTAAAGAGAATTTATTACTGAATTCAATACAAAACACAAAATTCAATTATTTGCAATACAAAAAAAAGTTAAACGATAATAGTTATCGATATACATTAGATAGTGATGACTGCAGTGAGTTATTATCAGTGCTTAGTAGGGTATCCTTTGTTTTTGATTACAGCTTCACATCGAAATTTCATTGAGCTGACAAGATTTTAAGCTCTTCTGTCATATACATGATGCCAGGGAAACAATTACAGCTCAATTAGTTCTCTTTTTGATGGGCGCCTCATTCGGACACAAGCGTTTTAAAGGTGTGCCACAAATTTTTGATAGGATTGAGGTCAGGACTGTTCCTGGCCATGACAACAATTTAATGCTCTTTGTTACGAAACCACTCTTTCGATATTTTGCCCACGTGGCAAGGAGCAGGAATCCTGCTGAAATATAAACGAAGCATGTTGGGAAAGAGATCTCTGATGGAAGGTAGAAGTTTTGGTTCTAGAATGTGTCAATGTATTTTCTGGCATTCAGTGTCCCATCGATGACATGAAGGCGACCAATACCATCTGCTGACATGCATGACCAAATCAAACACTAACTGGGTTTTCACAGTTGCTGAATCACTAGGATGTAGCTCTTCTCCTATTCTACGTCTTACATATTTTCGCCCATCACTACCCGAATTACATATCTTAGTTTCATCAACTCCATAATGTGGACCACTGATCATCTGTCCAATTAATGTGTTCCTTGCCCATATTGTCTTTTTTTTTTTCGTTGCTGAAATTAGGCTTTTTTCGTGGAATTCTACCTCTCAGTCCAACACCTGTTAATCTTCTCCTCATTGTTCTGGAACTGACAGAAACGCCAGCATTATTCAGATCACTTCTGATGGCTGCTGATGACATTTTTCTATCTTGGACACGGAGGTCCTTTTTCTTTTTGCAGTTTTTTATACTGCACCTTCAAATGATTTCATCGTTAACATCAAGTTTCATGTTGTGGCTATTTTCACATACTTGTTTGTGAGGTAAAAGACATCTTGCTTGAAAAAAAGCTACGGCATCCACCTCATTACTTGGTAAATAAAAAATTGTTATATATACACACACACACACACACACACAAAAAAAAAAAAAAAAAAAAAAAAAAGGGAGAGAGAGAGAGAGAGAGCAGCGAACATATTTTTAATAAACAATGCAAATCCAAAAACCTCACCAAAAAATGAATACTATCAGAACATGCGGCTACAGCAAAAATGTAACACTGTGCTAATAAACAATTACCTCTTGAGGTATAAGAACACTTAGCCAAATTTTGGCAAAATACCTTGGTTGATTGGCGATTCAATCTTGGAGGCCACCGTAACAAAGAAATACCCTTTTTACAATCAAATGTAATGAAAAATATAATTTTAAAAGGAGAAATATTTTATTCTAGAATATTAATAAATGCTATGATAAACGTTACATAATTTCTTAATAGACTGATTATATTCATCCTCAAATTTGTTTAAATTATGTTAACAAAATTAAAGTCTTACCTTTGCAGAAATTCATTCCGTTCGTCAAATTCTTCTGTATCAGCATCAAATGGAAATCCACTAAATTCAAGTATATTTTCTTTCACTTTATCAGCCTAAGATAAAGGGAAAGACGACAAGATAAATGCCAAAGCAATACAGTAAACTGTTTTAAAAGTACAATATTCATGCTTTCCTTAAGAAAACTATATCTTATGCAGCAAATAAAAGTTACAAATTGTTTTAGTATTGCTCTGATATTTTGTTCAGCATAATGAGTGACTGTAGAATTTTGTGTCTGATTTCCACAGGGGCAAAGCAATACCAGAGGGTGTGTACTTCTTGGCCATCTGGCATGCATATGAACAGCTAAGAGCATCATCATTAAGTGAACGCAATTTGTTAGAAAGAAGGCTTTGCCAAAATAAAAAGTAACATAAATATTATGTCATAGGACATTAAAAAGAAAAGAAATGTAGAGTAAAAATGTGTTCTGAGATTTTAAACCCGAAACTTTAACAATTAACTTTGCACTGGTCAACCTAGGGCTAAAGAAAAAGAAGAGCTGGGTCATCCCTTTGAGGGGAACAATGGCGACATGAACCCACATTCACGAGCAATGGACGTCACTGAGTTCCTCACCTCACCTACTACTACTAGAGAGAGAGCTCAGCACGAAAGCTTAAATTTTTACTTCTTATTTCTTTGAAAGAGGTTTTTTGAAAATTATAGCTGAGGATACTTTCAAAATGAATTATTATTATAAAGTATTTGTACCAGGAAAATACTGAAAAACCTGGGGCATTGTGCCGTTGCTCCCTGCGATAATAAGCATCAGAATACGAAAGAATCTTGTTCAGATACTCCCAAATTTGTAAAACATTGGAAGACAACTATAGAAAATAATAATGACTGTATCCTATATAAAGAAGTTCATTTCGTTCACTTAGTTTCATTTTCCTAAAAGGGAAAAAAATTAAACAAATATGCAGTTTATACTTACACTTGCACTACTGAGATAAAGAAGAAAATGTATATCAATAAGTAATTCTTCAGGAGCATTTTCTATACTTCGTACAACTGAAAATAAAAATAATTACATGAAATGGTTGAAATTCAGATAGAATGATAATACAATATTGTACAGCACCAATTATACAAAACTAGCTGAAACCTACCCTTGTTAAGATCTAAATTAAAATTTAGGGAGTTATATATATAAATAAAATTTACTCCAAATCCGCACCATGCAATCTTAAGGACCATGTCATTACAATAAAGATGATGGTGATTTAAGCAGCTTTAATTTCTCATTTCTCAATATATTAATTTAGTCAGCAACAGAAGAAAATGCATAATTTAATGTCAACCAACTTAACCTATAACTGTTGGCCATACTGAATTGTTAACTGAAGAAATCTAGCGTATGAAGCAGATAGTACTTTGGATTAATGCTTGAGGCTATAGAAATCTTCAAGTAGTTTAGAAAGCAATGCAAAAGAGACTTAGAAAATTGCAGAGTTTTAAACTTTTCGTCAATTATAATAATTAGTACACTTGCTAAACTGATCATTTTATTGCAGATTACTAAAATTTTGACTTCTCGTTATTATTTACATGGTTATCAAATTAGTAGAAGTTATCAAATTTTCAGAACATGCCAAACTCTAGCAACCATATGTATAAACATTCTTTGGGCAACCATGCTCACAACAACCATTCACTCTAACATTGTCACCATTTTCATATGCATTCTTGTTTTCTTTATTTCCTTGAATACTTTAACCATTTGGCTGCTACGTGGCACAAAAGTGCCGAGTTCATTTGTTTCAAAAACCGCAACGCAGTTCGTTATTTTAGAATGCACTCGTGTTACAAAGTCTGTGTGAGGTCAGACTACGTACATTCACACCCATGGAGCAATACACTGAAACACGCAGCGCAGAAGCGCTGCTTCGCGGTTTTCGAAACAAACGAACGCAATGCTTTTGCGCCGCGTAGCAACAATCCTCCCAAAAAGAAATTTTTTAAAAAAAGTTTGAAAATTTATCCCAGACTTTTTTTCTTTTTTTAAACCACTGAGCTAGATTTTTTTGTGAAGGTATGTATGCAGAAAGGCCATGCTTGGAATAGATTATCTGAATCATCCAGTATAAGAGATCAAACAGGATGTTCAGGCTGAGACATTACATTAAAACAGTAATATAGATACAACTGCTCATGCTTTAACTGAAGTGATGGTTCAAAAGCACTCTACCTACAGGCTTTGCACAGGAGACGTTCGGAAAGGTTCTGAAGAAGTCCGCACAGTCTGATGATGTACTGGGTCATATTTTGATAAGACTGTTGGACGAGCATAATCATACACAACAGCCCCATAGTCTAGTTTAGACTGTATGAGGGTTTTATACAGTCACAGCACTGAACACCAATTGGCTCCTCAGGAGGTGTTCACCAGCACTTTCACTTTTTCAGGTTAGACATTTCTTCTTTAAATGTAACACATGTGACAAAAAGTGAGTTTACTGTTGAATATCAATCCCAGAAATTAGCTTGTATAGATTTTCTGAAGATCAAATGAGTAACACGGTACGAGAGAAGGCCAGCAAATTGCTAAATAGATAGCATGAAACATCCTCGTTGGCTGGTGAAAGTAGGTATCTTTGCCCATGTTCAGCACACAGAAGCAGTAAACATCCAATAGCTGTTTGATCTACTTCCCATGTCCATGTTTCGCTACTTCCCTACAATGGATTACGTTTACTGAAGTCGCTGAGGATGATTAATGGCAGAGGCAGTTATTCTATCACGGCATCCAAATTTCTTTTATAAATAATTTCATTCGGTGGCAAATACAGAAAACATACTGTAGTTAGACAGCTTATGTGCATCTGTATTGCAACATCTTGGTGATCTGTCCTTAGAGGAAGTAAACAAAGGGCAGACATGCAAAGCAGGAAGGACTACACCTCCACAATTGCATTCGCTGTTTGTCTTATCTCCCCTCACCGTAGCATATCTCCGAAGCTTTACCTCTTGTTTGGGTTTAAGGAACATTTCCTGGACCACAAAACAAACAAGATGAAATTTATCAATGAAGACTTTTATGTTGACAAGGCTCTGGTGAAAGCTATGATATATATAAAATAACATTTGTCCAGGATATTAGGAAAGTCATCATGAATGTTTATTTTTTCACCATTTTTCTTTCGTTTTGCAAGGAAGATGTTGACGGAATGTTACATCCTCCTCAGTCTCAATACCATCTGAATCTAAAGACCAATAACTCATCCGATCTGGTGAGCTGCAAATTACTTTTAAAATTTTTGGTTGAAGAATTGGGATTTTTCTTTGCAATATGTGTTGTAAGTTTCTATTGTTGTAGTTAAATGTTTCTGATTCATTTCATTATTTGACTCTTTTCTTTGTATAGTGCTTGAATTTGGAAGGGGGATGCTTATGACAGTTTTGGTTCCTATGGAATTAGTTAACTTAACCATAACTGAGTACGAGGTTTTATATATCGAATTGGTGTTATAAATTAACTTGCGTTCCTCTGCATACGAAAAATGTTTTGTGACCTTCAGCAGGGTTCGTACACATTTCTGCACACGGACATTAAGTACTTTTAAGGACCATTAATGGAAAAAATTACGGACCTATGAGCAAATGGGAACTGAATAAATTCAATTTAAAATATTATCTATGCCTGAATTTCACTTTTTTTTATTGTAATACCATCCTAAAAATAAAATAGATTCCTAAGCAGTATGCATTATTACTAAATATGAAATAATTGGCATAATTATTAATAAGTTTGATAATAAAATAAACTTTATGCAATTTATCAAGTAGCATTAAATATTTTACATTTATAATAGTTGTACATATTTGAAACCAGATAAGTGGCATTTACGTTTTACTAACAGTTAGCTTTATGCTGATTTTTTTATGTCTCATTTTGTCACATATTTGGTCAGCTATTTTGTCAAATTTTTGGTGTAGAGGTTTAGTAAATAGCAGGTATATTTTATGTTAAACTGCATAAGTTAAAATAAGAAGTGCGATCATAATCAGCATGATTCATAACAAAAGACTGAATGTTGTCACCGCTGCTGCTTGTCTAGAGAGAGACCTGCTGATTCGAGCAAACCTGAAAGGCTTGATGTAGGCACGGGTGGCAAGTGTTGAAAGTCAGGCTCTGTTTGATGCAGTTAGTGTCATAGCTTTGTGTTAAGTTCCAGGGGTTGTAACCCAGTCAATATACTTTAAGGTTCCAATAAGCCGTTAAAGCACCAGCGGTGATAAGTTGTTTTGTATTATTTTAAGTCTCACTGTATGCAAAGAATAAGTTTTACTTGTAAACAGTTATCAATAATTAAATTAGGTAGTTTAATAACATTTGTCATTATGGATTTATATGGCCACTATTAAATTTTACTTTTTAAGAATATTTGTTAAAAAGGCCCTATTAAAATAACAATCTAATAAAATTTTACTCTTTAAAATACATGCAAATTATGACACTGATTTTTAAATGATATTAGGATAATTACACATTAAAAGCTACAAAACATTTATGTTTTGTAACAACACTCAACAAAATATTTATACATCATTTTAATTTGAAGCCTTCCCAGACATTTTGGTTAGTTTATATTGATTTCCTTCTCTTTAAGCAACTTCTCTTAATATGCAAACCAATGATCTTGCTAGTTTCTGCAAGCTTTATCTCCTAACTTGTCAACCTCTCCAGAATGCGAATATGAGGGCTTACTTTATCTAGTAAAAGTTAAATAGTCCAAAACCCCCAACAAGCGTGAAGCATATTATTGCTATGCCTAAAGTAACTACAATATCAGACAAAAGTTTAAATAAGCCCCTTATTTAAAAGAAAGTTAAAACATAAAGGCATGTTCTGATGCTAACAAAATCAATTACAGCTCATGATTAAGTAATTAAACGATAACAGTCAAATTCAAACTAAAAATGTGACTTAGTGGTCAAAGATTATACAATTTAATTTAAATTTAATCTGGCTCAGTAGCTCTATCATATGAGGAAAAGTAATGGGAAATTATAGTAAAAGCTGATATCATAAATAATTGGGTAATTTACATATTATTAACTGTACATATCTTTGAAGAATAATTTTTTTATGCATTCAGTTTCTTTCTTCAACACGTTTTCTTTTCATTTTAGATTTTTTTGGATTTAATTAAGGATTTTTATTCTAAAAAACACTAAATGCATTTAGAATGTACAGAAAAAGTGGCTAATTTTATTTCTTTAGTAATATGAGTATTCGGAAGAAATATGAAATATATATGGTAAAGGCCGGTTACAGAGCTGGTGTAGCAGAATTTTTAGAATTTAATGACATGCGGAACAACAAAATCTAGAAAGAGCAAAATTTTTAGAATTTAGAACTGTCATTGGAAGCATTTACAAAGGCACTAGGCAACAGAATTTAGGATCTACAGAGATTGCTTCGAGTGGGAAAATGCCTAGTGCCAGCTATGTGTATGGTGCATTTAGACATACTAGATTAATCTTTTAAATTGTAAGTTTTCAATTTCTTTATTAACAAAAAACTTCCTTTCTATAATGCCTGCCCATGTGATAAGATTAGAAGGATTTTTGATATTTTCCATGCTTGTGTCTAGTGAAAAGTAGAGAAAATAAAGGGAAGAAAAACATGTTAAGATTCTAGTATCAGAAGTTAAACATTCAAATATTATATTTTCATTGTTCTTCCAGACATTCTCCAAAAAGTAAGAAATTAATTGCAAACTTTTTGTAAAACACATCCATTACATGTTGATACCATGGACACATTTTTTCATTTTGTCACATATTTCTCGAATCTTCTAGAATCGTAGCTCTATAAATCTTGCCTTCAAATCCTTCTAAACTTTCCAAGCTGAAGTGTCTAAAATCCTAAAGAAAAATTATCCCTACCAATTCTGTAATAGCAAAAGGCCAGAAATATTTTGGGAAAAAAAAAAAGGACGGAAAAAGGATAAAATTAATTTTATAGAGAAAAACTGATGCATATTCTGAGAATTCTAAATATTCTG